GAGGAGACAGATCCTCTTCCAAAACAAGAATAATTGCAATGTAAGGAAATTTGCGTAAGGAAAGGAAGGGAAAAATGTGTATGAGGAAACCATAGGCCAGGCGCAGTGGCTCACTCCTGTATCCCAGCACTTTGGGAGGCCAAGGTGGGCGGATACACCTGTGGGACATGGACTTGGTCTACTCCAGTGCAGGGATGCAGGTACCGAAAGTCACATGACAAAACGGTGTGGCGGGAGGTGGTAAAAAGCTGGGAGCAATGGTCCACATAGCACAAATACGCATTTGCTGTAAGCCCCGTTGTCAAGACAGTCATCAGATTCAGTAGAAGGACTCGCAGTTATGATTTATATCAGCAAAAGGACACAGAGGAAAATCAGCAAAGGATAAAAGGCACATAGAGGCTGAGGCAGGAAAATGGCTTGAACCCGGGAGGCGGAGGTTGCAGTGAGCCGAGATCACACCACTGCACCCCAGCCTGGGAGACAGAGAGAGATTTTGTCTCAAAGGGAAAAAAAAGAGAAATGAGAGGAACTTAACTTTAAAGACAAGGCAGCAGCCCAACTCTGCAACCTGAAGGGTGAGAAGGCGCCAGGCATGAGAGTTGGCTGAGGGACTCCGCAGCCGGGTATGGCCTGGACTTGGGCAGGAGCTCGTACAGCGAGCATTCTCTTTCTTTCTTTCTTTTGAGATGGCATTTCTGCTGCCTCAGCCTCCCAAGTAGCTGGGATTACAGGTGGCCACCCCACCCTGCTGGCTAATTTTTGTATATTTAGTAGAGACAGGGTTTCACCATGTGGGCCAGGCTGGACTCAGACGCCTGGCCTTGAGTGATGTGCCTGCCTTGGCCTCCCAAAGCTCTGGGATTACAGGTGTGAGCCACCGTGCCTGGCCGGCATTCACTTTCTGCATTTTGAAGCTCGTGTGGATTTGTGCAGGATAGGGCTAATGCAGCAGGCCTGGTGGGTTCAACTCCGCACATTCCAAAAAGAGGGACTGGCCCCTGAGCTTTGGGAAAACCCTACCTGATAAGAGTGTCTCTGCTTATGTGGCGGCCTCGGGCCACGCCAGCCAGTCTAGGCCAACAGTGTGATTTATGGTAGAACTTCATCTCTAAAGGGCCTGGAGACCGAGTAGCTCAGGTCAGCCACATGGGCACTCCACGCCTGTGTAACCAACCCCTAATCAAAACTCCGGACACGAAGGCTCAGGTGAGCTTCCCAGTCTGGCAACACTCTGGGTACTGCTGGGAGACAGATGTCCTGGGGTACTTGCACCTGTCTTCCCCGTGCCCTGTTCTATGTGTCTTTTATCCTTTGCTGATTTTCTTCTGTGTCCTTTTGCTGTAATAAATCATAACTGCGAGTCCTTCTACTGAATCTGGTGGCTGTCTTGACAACAGGGCTTTTTGCAGCAAATGTGAATTTGTGGTACATGGACCGTTGCTCTCAGCTTTTTATTTTTTTTTAAGATGTGATTTCACCATGTTGGTCAGGTTGGTCTTGAACCCCCGACCTCAGGTGATCTGCCCGCCTTAGCCTCCAAAGTGCTTGGATTACAGGCGTTAGCCACCATGCCCGGCCCAGCTTTTTGTTTCTCTCTCTCTCTCTCTGTGTGTGTATATATATATACACACACTATATATATATATATATATATATAGTCAGGCTGGTCTTGAACTCCTAACCTTGTGATCCACCTGCCTCGGCCTCCCAAAGTGCTGGGATTACAAGTGTAAGCCACCAGTGCCCGGCCTTGCTCCCAGCTTTTTACCACCTCCCACCACACCCTTTTGCCATGTGACTTTGGGTACCTGCATACCTGCACTGCATGCCCCTGCCCACTCGATGCTGCATGGCCAGTGGGTATCAGCAGAGGTCATGCAAGAGGAGGCCTAATGCAAGACACCACCACCCCAGAAGAGCATGCCCTTCGTAGCCCCTGATCCCAGAATGGGTTGGCAGAGAGGACCCGAGCCCCACCCACAGACGAAGCCACTGAGGCCTGTGTCGTCTGCCTGGCCCTGCTGTTTTCAGACACATCTGCACCCCTTTCCACGGCTCACTGTGGACCAGCCATTCTGAAACAGCCCATTAAAAACACAGAGTTCTTTCCAGCCTCGGGACTTTGCAGTGGCTGCTCCAGTGCTGGGGGCTGCCAGGGGGTGTGGCTCACAGACGGGCACTGAGGCAGGAACTGGATGTGGGTGTCAAGGTGGTCACAGAACAGACGGCTGGGACAGCTCCCCAGAGAGAAGCCCTGAGCTGCTCGACAGGTCCCATGGCCCACACCTCAGAGGCAGGGCTGCCATACCCGCCCCCTGGATCACCTCTTGCTGTCCCATGCCCCACACCTCAGAGGCAGGGCTGCCATACCCACCTCCTGAATCACCTCTTGCTGTCCCATGCCCCACACCTCAGAGGCAGGGCTGCCATACCCGCCTCCTGGGTCACCTCTTGCTGTCCTATGGCCCACACCTCAGAGGAAGGGCTGCCATGCCTGCCCCCTGGATCACCTCTTGCTGTCCCATGCCCCACACCTCAGAGGAAGGGCTGCCATGCCTGCCCCCTGGATCACCTCTTGCTGTCCCATGGCCCCTGAGGCTCCTTTCTGGCACAATCCTCACCTCCAGGCTCTTCAAGCTCCAACTCAGCAGGGAGGTAGGAGGTTGACAGGAGCAGGCAGGGCATGGGAGGGCTCAGCAGGGGTATGGGGCTGGACAGATCCCCCCACCTGACTCACCCTTTCTCTTTTCCTCCTCCTCTGACTCCCACAGCCTCCCGGCTCAGATCCCACCATCTTCCTGACCATTGGATAAAGACCAAAAGAGGCCGGGCGCAGTGGCCCACGCCTGTAATCCCAGCACTTTCGGAGGTGGATCAAGAGGTCAGAACTTGGAGACCAGCCTGACCAGCATGGTGAAACCCCATCTCTACTGAAAATACAAAAAGTTAGTCGGGCATGGTCGTGGGCGCCTGTATTCCCAGCTACCAGGGAGGCTGAGGCAGGAGAATCACTAGAATCTGGGAGGTGGAGATTGCAGTGAGCTGACATTGTGCCCCTGCACTGCAGCTGGGTGACAAGAGCATGACTCCATCTCAACAACCACAAAAACCTCCTAGGCAGAGGGCCTGGCAAGTGCAGAGCCCCGGGGACCTGTGCGGGGCCCGATCAAACCCCTTGGAGGAGTCCAGAGTGGCTGGAGTGGAGCAAGCAGGGGAGGGACCAGGACAGACTGAGCCCCGAACATCCCATCACCCGGCCCAGCCATGGACGCTGGGTGAAAACACACAAGAGCAGGCCAGCCTCCAGGAGGAGCAGGGGTCCTACCCCACACAGGGGTCCTACCCCACACAGGGGTCCCGGCTCAGGGCCGCAGCCTTCCCCCCAGCTCCCGCGCCCCGGGACCGTGGGAAATCAGCCTGCTCTTTGTCCTGTCCTGAGCCAACACATTTGCCTTGAGAGCGCTTAGGAACGGAAAAGCGTAGGGAGCAGCTGGCAGCCACCATCGCGTTTGCTCTCGGAAGGCAAGACGAGGCAAAGAAAATTCCAGAACCCATTTAAGCGTCTGGGACTCCCGAGGTCACGGTGGGCTCCTGGCAGGCTCGGGGGCACAGCGGGTAGAGAAGGGTGTCTGCAGTTTCGCGAGGGGTTCGCGCTGTGCGGGCCCGCGCGGGCAGGACGCTGCTCTCCCGCCGGCGGAAGCGGGGCGCGCTCGGGCTGCGGGCAGCGGGGGCGCAGGGGAGAGCCCGGGCGCGGGCGCGGAGGAGCGGCAGGCGTGGGAGCCTCCGGGTGGGCGCGGCCCCAGCGGCGCATGTGCAGCAAGACCCGGGACACGCGCCCGGAACCGTCTCGTGACCCAGCGATGAAAGCTCGAATCTTACGGGATCGGTACTCAGTTCCCCGCCGGCTCAAGCCGGGGCCCGGGCCCTGGAGGGGGTGCACCCTAGGCCGCGACGAGTGTCCACGAGGAGGCGGTGTGGACCCGCGGACCCCGGACCAGGCCTAGGCAGGAGGCGAGCGCGAGCGCACCGCCCATCCCCGCCCCTCCCCGCCCCTCCCCGCCCCTCCCCGCCCTTCCCCGCCCCGCAACCCGCGGCCCCCGCCCTCCCCGCCCCTCCCCACCCCACAACCCGCGCCCCCCCCCCCGGCCCCCCCCCCCCCCCCCCCCCCGCTCCTCCCCCCCCCCCCCCCCCCCCCCGCCCCCCCCCCCCTCCCTCCCTCCCGCCCCCCACGCCCCTCCCCCCCCCCCCCCCCATCCCGCCCCTTCCCCCGCAACCCGCGTCCCCCGCCCTACCCCGCCCCTCCCCACCCCCCCCCCCCCCGACCCTCCCGCCACCACGCCCCCCCGCCCGCCCTCCCGCCCCCTCCCCGCCCCTCCCCGCCCCTCCCCCCCCGCCCCCCAACCCCCGCCCCCGCCCCTCCCCGCCCTCCACGCCCTCCCCGCCCCGCGCTTCCCGCCCCGCCCCCCCCCCCCCTCCCCGCCCCGCAACCGCGCCCCCGCCCCTCCCCCTCCCCGCCCTCCCCGCCCGCCCCGCCCCCCCGCCCCGCCAACCCCGCCCCGCCCCTCCCCGCCCCGCAACCCGCGGCCCCCGCCCCTCCCCGCCCCTCCCCGCCCCGCAACCCGCGGGCCCCCGCCCCTACCCCGCCCCGCAACCCGCGGCCCCCCGCCCCCCGCCCCTCCCCGCCCCGCAACCCGCCCCTCCCCGCCCCTCCCCGCCCCTCCCCGCCCCGCAACCCGCGTCCCCCGCCCCTCCCCGCCCCTCCCCGCCCCTCCCCGCCCCGCAACCCGCGCCCCCCGCCCCTCCCAGCCCCTCCCCGCCCTTCCCCGCCCCTCCCCGCCCCTCCCCGCCCTTCCCCGCCCCGCAACCCCCGCCCCCCGCCCCTCCCCGCCCCGCAACCCGCGCCCCCAGCCCCTCCCCGACCCGCAAACTGTGCGGGCGCAGCGCGCCCCCAGCACCTCTCCATGCTCGCTTAAGAGGGGTCTCCACGTCTCAGAGGACACCCTCTCCGTTCCCCAACGTGGGCCCCGGAGCTCTGGGGGGAGTTTGTTTGTTGAGTCTCGCTCTGTCGCCCAGGCTGGAGTCCAGTGCGATCTCTGCTCACTGCAACCTACATCTCCCGGATTCAAGCAGTTCTCCTGCCTCAGCCTCCTGAAGCTGGAATTACAGGTGCACCCCACCATGCCCAGCTAATTTTTGTATTTTTAGTAGAGATGGTGTTTCGACATGTTGGCCATGCTAGTCTTGAACACCTGACCTCAAGTGATCTGCTCCCCCCCCGCCCCTCCCAAAGTGCTGGAATTACAGGTGTAAGCCACTGCACCTGGCCTATTTTTATTTTTTGAGACAAGGTCTGGCTCTGTTGCCCAGACTGGAGGGCGTGGCTCCATTTCGGCTTACTGCAACCTCTACCTCCTGGGTTCAAGCAGTCCTCCCACCTCAGTCTCCTGAGCTCTGGGACTACAGGTGTGTTCCACAATACCAGGCGAATTTTTGAATTTTTTGTAGAGAAAGGGGTCTCACCATGTTGCCCAGGCTGGTCTTGAACTCCTGGGCTCAAGCTATCCTCCTGCCTCAGCCTCCCAAAGTGCTGGGATTGCAGGCATGATCCACCACCTGGCCTGCATAATTCTTTTACTTCCTCAATGCTAGGCCTCAGAGAGCATCCCAGCCACACTATGGGAGAAAACTTTCTCCTGAATCCCCTCAGCTCAACAGCTCATGCCTCCTGGACTAGCGGGGTCTGGAGAACTTGCTCCTTCTCCTGGAGGGCCAAGGGGGATGGCAGTGCTGTGGCAGGGGCCAGGCGGGGTTAATAGGACTTCTGAGCACAGATGCACAGGAGGTCAAGGAGGGCGATTTCTGGGGAAAGAGCATTCCAGGCAGAGGGAACAGCCCATGGAGGGGCCCAGAGGCAAGGGTGTGTCTGCCAGCGCAGAGAACAAGGAGACCTGTGTGGCTGGAGAAGTGGTGAAGGAGGAGGGGGCCAGGGCCCAGGTCATGGAGGCTTTGTAGACCGCTGAGGGAACTCTGGCTTTTCCTTGGAGCAAAATGGGAGCTCTGCAGGGTTCTTGGGAGAGGAAATCCAGAAAAGAAGCAATGGTAGCTTGGCCACAAGCAGTGGTCTTGGAGATGGTGAGAAGCCACCAGGTTCTGGGGGGCTTCTGAAGTGGAGCCAAGAATTCCTAATAATGACAGAATCAGCATAGTCACGACCCCTGCTCTCCCAGACATCCACATCCTAATCCCCAGAATTTGTGAATGTGTTACCTTCCATGGCAAGAGGGGGTAACGGCAGCAGATGCACTGGCGTTGCTAATCAGTTTCCCTTAAAATAGGGAGCCTGCCCTGGGTCACCAGGTGATCCCAGTCATCACAGGGCCCTTCAATGTGGAAGAGGGAGGCGGAAGAGAAGGCCAGAGTAATGCAGTGTGAGAAGGATTTGACCCACTGTTGCTGACTTTGAGCCTGGAGGAAGGGGCCACGAGCCAGGGAATGCAGGTGGCCTGTAGGGGGTGGAAACCACCAAGAATGAATTCTGCCCTAGAGCCCCAGAGAGAACCTGGCCCTGCCAACACCTTGACTTTAGCTCAGGAGGCTCTTGTTGGACTTCTGACCTCTGTAAGTATCAGATCGCAACTTTGTGTTGTTTTAAGCGCTGAGTTTGAAGTACATTTTCCCTGCAACCACAAGAAACTCAAAGTGACCGGGGCGAGGCAGGTGTTAGGGAAAGTTAAAGAGGACCTGAAGTCCTTGGCCTGAGCAACGGGGAGGATGGGTCTGCCTCATCTGGAACAGAGAGGCTTTGGTTGCGGATGGGGCATTTGAGAGTGGTTGGGACATCGTAGGCAGTGACCTGATCAGTTTCAGTATCTCCCGGGTCTGGTGCAGTGCTGCACAGGGGAGGGCCCTCAGGTGATTGTGGAATAAATGAATGAATGAATGAATGAATGATGCATGTATGAATGAATGCTTAGCTGCTCAGTAAATATATGTGGCATGCGTGCGTGAATAAGTGGAGAGGCTGAGCTGTGACCCCAATATCCGGGGTTGCCTGGGGTGGGGTGCCAGGAGAGGGAAGGTCACAGCCATGCCTCTTGCCTGTCTTCAGACCAGCTCTAGGGGAGCAGCCCAGTGGACAGCTCTGGTGGCTCTCAGGACAGAGGGCAAGGCTCCCCATGCCCCCAAACTCAGGCCTCATATGCCACACCAAAGGCTCAGTTGAGGCGCAGCTGCCCCCGCTGCTGCCTTCCCCCAGCCAGCTCCCTAGCCCAGTCCTGCAGGCCCTGGTCTGCCTGTCACACCCACTATATCCCCGGGAGCCCGTTCAGGAACATCATTTTTCTCCATCCTGCTCCATTTCCCCATCTACCCCAGCCCCAGAGAGAGGCTTCTAGAAGATTCTGAGCCTTCCTATGGGAGCAGAGGGACCTTAGAATTTGGACAGCCCTGGCTTGGGCCAAGGAGCCAGCTCTCAGACCCTCGGCCTCTTCCGCGAGCCCCTTAGGAGTGAGGGGTCAGCAGAGCAGGGCTCTCCCAGCCAGCATCCCAAGGAGGGATATCCCTGGGAGGATAGGGAACCCAGGGGCACTTGTCGGCCTGGCACCTCTGACAAACTCCAGTGATGCATAGGTGTGGCTCATGGCAGCTGAGGACGGACGGGCACAGCAAGAAGCCCCCACAGCCCCCGAGGGGGAGAGCCTGGTGCGTGGCCTGCAGGCCCTGGTGGCCTTGACAGATCTACCCCCTCTCCAGCCTTCAGTGAAAAGAAGCCACAGCTTGCTTTTGTCATGTATTAAAGACATTTGTAGGCCAGGCGTGGGGGCTCAGGCCTGTAGACCCAGCACTGTGGGAGGCTGAGGTGGGCAGGTCACAAGGTCAAGAGATTGAGACCATCCTGGCCAACATGGTGAAACCCCATCTCTACTAAAAATACAAAACTTAGCTGGGTGTGGTGGCACACGCCTGTAATCCCAGCTGTTTAGGAGGCTGAGGCAGGAGAATCACTTGAACCGGGGGTCAGAGGTTGCCGTGAGCCGAGATCACGCCACTGCACTCCAGCCTGGCAACAGAGCAAGACTCTGCCTCAAAAAAAAAAAAAAAATAGCCATGTGTGGTGGTACACCCCTGTAATCCCAGCTACTCGGGAGGCTGAGGCAGGAGACTCACTTGTACTTGGGAGGCGGAGGTTGCAGTGAGCTGAGAGTGTGCCACTGCACTGCCTGGGTGACAGAGCGAGACTCCATCTCAAAAAAAAAAAAAAAAGAAAGAAAGAGAAATTAAACTCAAGTTTCTGGATTGAAAGGACCCGTTGAATGCTTAGAACCAAGAATGAAAATAAATATATGCCTAAGGCACATCAGAGGGAGTTTCAGAACATGGGAGACAAGGAGAAGGTCCTGTAAATACCCAGAGAGACACACTAGGTCTCGGCCTGGACCAGCGGCTCACACTTGGAATCGCAGCACTTTGGAGGCCGAGGCAGGCAGATCGCCTGAGGCCAGGAGTTCCAGACCAGCCTGGCCAACACGGTGAAACTCCGTCTCTACTAAAAATACAAAAAATTAGCCAGGCGTGGTAGCAGGCACCTGTAATCCCAGCTGCTTTTGGGGCTAAGGCAGGAGAATTGTTTGAACCCGGGAGGCAGAGGTTGCAGTGAGCCAAGATTGTGCCATTGCACTCCAGCCTGGGTGAAGAAAGTGAAACTCCATCTCAAACAAAAACAGAAATAAAAACAATAGATCCTGTGCAACTGGCCAGGGTCAGAACGCCTTCCGACTTCTCAACAACACAACTAAGGGCTGAAGTCACTGAATGAATACTCTCCGAACGCTGAAGTGCAATGAGTTCCAGCCTAGGTGTTTACACTCAGCCAAACTGCTAACCGCGAGTGAGGTTGGAAGAGAGAACCTCAGAATGCTAAGTCCTCAAAAAATGCACATCCCCGGCCCCTTTCTCAGGAAGTGACCCGAGGGTGTGGTGCGTCAAAGAGTGAACTGGGAAAGAGGAAGTGGTGGGATCCAGGAAGCAGGGATCCTGCTGAAGAGAAGGGCGGAGAGCCTGGCCAAGGGAGGCCCCCGGCTGAAGGCTGGGCCCCCGCTCAGAGTCCATTTTGAGTTGGCGGAATGTCTGACGGACTGAGACGCTTTGGGGGAGGTTGGGACATTTGGCAGAATTCGGAGTCGAATTAGTAATAAGAAAGTGAGCAGAATTAGAAAGAGCATTTATTAACGCCGGGGGAAACGGAGTGAGCAGGGAGGGGAAGTCACCATGACACATTACGTGGCTCAGGTATGAGAGAGTTTGTGCGGTCTCCTCACAATGGAAACTGACCACTGACCTGAGTCAAAGATGAGTTATAATGATACTGGAGGGCAGGGAATAGCAAGGGAAGAATGCTTTTCAGGGATCTGGAGCTGAAACCAAAAGAACGAGCTGAAAGTTGAAGGCAGTTGCCTCCAGCGATGCGAACACAGGGAACTGCTGTTTTTCGTAAGAAACCTTGTAAAACTAGGTAGCTGTTTAAATTATGTGCACGTGTCCACATGTGGTGGCTCCTGCCTGCAATCCTAGCACTCTGGGAGGCCAAGACAGGAGGATCCCTTGAGCCTGGGAGTTCGAGACATGCCTGGGCAAGATGGCAAGACCCCATCTTTGCAAAAACTAAATTATCTGAGTGTGGTGGTGCACACCTGTAGTCTCAGCTGTTTGGGAGGCTGAGGCGGGAGGATCACAAGCCCAGGAGCTGTGACTGTGCCACTACAGTCTAGCCTGGGTAACAAAGCACGACTCTGTTTCTAGAAAGAAAAGAAAAGAAAAAAGAAAGAGTTCATAAATCTGATGAAATGTAGAAACTAAATCTGAAACACACTCATAATTTAGATGCCCAGTTTTACCTGGTTGTTAAGTCAGCGGGATATGAACTTGTGCCTTGGGATTGACAGATTTCTGTGCAGCACTACAGCAGGTCCCTGTTGTCACAGGGCCACCCAGTACCCCCATAAGTGTGGTATTGACAGGGAAAAGAGCATTTTACCAGTTCAGGTCTGTGCACACCGGCCAGGGAGCACCTCTCGGCGGCCTCCTGCACTTGTGAGTGCAGGGAGGGAGCACAGTTGCCGTTGGGGGTCCCCGTCATGGCGCAGTGGGGGCTGTATGACAGCACAGCCCTATCCTGCTAACACCTGGCCAAGTAGAGTGTGCAACTGGGGGATTCTCATCCGCTGATCTTTTTTTTTTTGAGACAGAGTCTTGCTCTGTCACCCAGGCTGAAGTGCAGGGGCGTGATCTCGGCCCACTGCAACCTCCACCTCTCTGGCTCAAGCACTTCTCCTGCCTCAGCCTCTTGAGTAGCTGGGATTACAAATGCCCACCACCACGCCTGGCTCATTTTTGTATTTTTAGTAGAGATGGGGTTTTGCCATGTTGGCCAGACTGATCGTGAACTCCTGACCTCAGGTGATCCACCCGCCTCGGCCTCCCAAAGTGCTAGGATTACAGATATGAGCCACCACACCTGGCCTGACTGATCTTTTTTTTTTTTTTTTTTTTTTTGAGACGGAGTCTTGTTCTGTCACCAGGCTGGAGTGCAGTGGCATGATCTCAGCTTACTGCAACCTCCACCTCCTGGGTTCAAGCAATTCCCCTGCCTCAGCCTCCTGAGTAGCTGGGACTACAGGTTTGTGCCACCACACCTGGCTAATTTTTTGTATTTTAGTAGAGAGGGGTCTCACCATGTTGGCGATCTCTTAAGCTTGTGAACTGCCCACCTTGACCTCCCAAAGTGCTGAGATTAGACCGATCTTACAGTAAGCACACACAGGAATGTGTAGTAATAAAATGCTGCTTTTACCTGCCTTTATATACGGGGGTGCCACTAAGTTTTATCTTCAATGAGGAAAAATGCTACCTCACTCTTTTCATTTGTATTTATTTTATTATTAGTGAAGCAGAACAGTGTCTTAGGCCATTTTGTGCTGCTGTAGCAGAATACCCCAGACTGGATCATTTATGAAGAACAGAGATTTATTTCTTACGGTTCTGGAGTCCGGGAAGCCCACTGTCTAGAGGCCCACACTGGGACAGGGGCCTCCTTGCTACATGACCCCGCGGAGGAAGATGGAGGGGCACGCCCCAGAGAGAGAGGGAAGGGGAGGAGGCCAAACTCGTTCTTTTACTAGGAACCTACTCCCGCGAGAACGAGCCCACTGCAGCTGTAATGCCATCAGTCAATCCGTGAGGGCTCTGCTTCCTAAAAGTCCCACCTTCCAACACTGGTGCACTGGGGACTACATTTCTAATACATGAACTTCTAGGGTCACGTTCAAACTTAACACGCATGTTCATTTATTCTTTTATTTTTAGAGTCGGGATCTCATTTCATCACCCGGGCTGGAGCGCAGTGTCACCATGGTGAATCATTACAGCCTTGAACTCCTGGGCTCAAGTGGTCCTCCTGCTTCAGCCTCCTGAGTAGCTGGGAACTACAGGTGGGCACCACCATGCCCAGCTTATTTCTTTTTATTTTTTAGTAGAGACCAGGGTCTTGCTATGTTGTCCACATTGGTCTGAACTCCTGGGCTCAAGCGATCCTCCCACCTCTACCTCCCAAAGTGCTGGGATTACAGGTGTGAGTCAACGTGCCCTGCCAGGGATTAATTGATTGGTTCATTGATTTTTAGTGATAGGGTCTTGCTCTGTCACCCAGGCTGTAGTACAGTGGTGTGATCACAGTTCACTGCAGCCTCCACATCCTGGGCTCAGACTGTCCTCCCGCCTCAGCCTCCTGAGTCATAAGATTTTAAACTATGGGCATTTTCAGTCTTGCTGTTCACACGTGGTTAATTCTCTACTCTGGCACTTTCCTAAGCAACTATAAGCCTCAAATGTTTCATTGTCTTTTTTTTTTTTTTTTTTTTATATACGGGGTTTCACCATGTTGGTCAGGCTGGTCTTGAACTCCCAACCTCAGGTGAGCCGCCCACCTTGGCCTCCAAAGTGCTCGGATTACGGGCGTGAGCCCCCGCACCCAGCCTGTTTCACTGTCAAAGAGTGGCCCAGGGAAGCTACCCACTAGGGCCCATGTACCACGGATCTCTTGCAGGAACTGGGGTCATGGACGAGTTCTCATTCCGCTTCCGAGCTCCACAAATATGTGTTTTAAACTTTCCAAGTTTATCTGAGCAATTACTAGGCTGGACTGGTCCTGGATCAGGTTGGTTCTGATAACTCACTGGATTGGACTCAGCTGGAGGCCTCAGGCAGCACCTTTTTGATGTTGGGTTTTTGCAGCTCAAGGAGTCTGGGCAGGCCGAGATTGGCAGAACTAACAGAATCAATCGGTGCTTTGGCCAAAGGCATTACCGACTGATGGAAGGGCACGGAAAACAGAATGACCCCTTATAAAATAGCTATCGGCCGGGCGCGGTGGCTCAAGCCTGTAATCCCAGCACTTTGGGAGGCCGAGGCGGGTGGATCACGAGGTCAACAGATCGAGACCATCTTGGTCAACATGGTGAAACCCCGTCTCTACTAAAATTACAAAAAATTAGCTGGGCATGGTGGCGCGTGCCTGTAATCCCAGCTACTCAGAAGGCTGAGGCAGGAGAATTGCCTGAACCCAGGAGGCGGAGGTTGCGGTGAGCCGAGATCGCGCCATTGCACTCCAGCCTGGGTAACAACAGTGAGACTCTGTCTCAAAAAAAAAAAAAAAAAAATAGTCACCCCAAAGGAGAGTGGAAAGCTATTCTTGATTTTTTTTTTTTTTTTTTTTTTTTGAGACAGGGTCTCACTCTGTTGCCCAGACTGGAGTGCAGTAGGATGATATCAGCTCACTGCAACTTGGCCTCCTGGGCTCAGGTGACCCTCTCACCTCAGCCTCTCAGTTATCTGGGACTACAGTGGTCCAGCACCAAGCCCGGCTAATTGTTTGAAAAGATGGGGTCTTGCTGTGTTGCCCAAGCTAGTCTCAAACTCCTGGGCTAAAACAATCCGCCCACTTCGGCCTCCCATGCGCTAGGGTTACGGGTACGATCTCCCCTGCGCTAGGGTTATGGGCACGATCTCCCGTGCGCTAGGGTTATGGGCACGATCTCCCGTGCGCTAGGGTTACGGGCACGATCTCCCGTGCGCTAGGGTTACGGGCACGATCTCCCGTGCGCTAGGATTACGGGCACGATCTCCCCTGCGCTAGGGTTATGGGCACGATCTCCCGTGCGCTGGGATTATGGGCACGATCTCCCCTGCGCTAGGGTTACGGGCACGATCTCCCGTGCGCTAGGGTTATGGGCACGATCTCCCGTGGGCTAGGGTTACGGGCACGATCTCCCGTGGGCTAGGGTTACGGGCACGATCTCCCGTGCGCTAGGGTTACGGGTACGATCTCCCCTGCGCTAGGGTTATGGGCACGATCTCCCGTGCGCTGGGATTATGGGCACGATCTCCCGTGCGCGAGGGTTACGGGCACGATCTCCCGTGCGCTAGAGTTACGGGCACGATCTCCCGTGCGCTAGAGTTACGGGCATGATCTCCCGTGCGCTAGGGTTTCGGGCATGATCTCCCGTGCACTAGAGTTACGGGCATGATCTCCCGTGCACTAGGGTTTCGGGCATGATCTCCCGTGCACGAGGGTTACAGGCATGATCTCCCGTGCGCTAGGGTTTCAGGCATGATCTCCCGTGCGCTAGGGTTTCAGGCATGATCTCCCGTGCGCTAGGGTTTCAGGCATGATCTCCCGTGCGCTAGGGTTACAGGCATGATCTCCCGTGCGCTAGGGTTTCAGGCATGATCTCCCGTGCGCTAGGGTTACAGGCATGATCTCCCCTGCGCTAGGGTTACAGGCATGATCTACCGTGCGCTAGGGTTTCGGGCATGATCTCCGGTGCTCTAGGGTGTCGGGCATGATCTCCCGTGCCCTAGGGTTACGGGCATGATCTCCCGTGCGCTAGGGTTACGGGCATGATCTACCGTGCGCGAGGGTTACGGGCATGATCTACCGAGCGCGAGGGTTACGGGTATGATCTCCCGTGCCCTAGGGTTACGGGCATGATCTCCCGTGCGCTAGGGTTACGGGCATGATCTCCCGTGCGCTAGGGTTTCGGGCATGATCTCCGGTGCGCTAGGGTTACGGGCATGATCTCCCCTGCGCTAGGGTTACGGGCATGATCTCCCCTGCGCTAGGGTTTCGGGCATGATCTCCCGTGCGCTAGGGTTACGGGCATGATGTCCCGTGAGCTAGGGTTACGGGCATGATCTCCCGTGCCCGAGGGTTACGGGCATGATCTCCCGTGCGCTAGGGTTACGGCATGATCTCCCGTGAGCTAGGGTTACGGGTATGATCTCCCGTGAGCTAGGGTTACGGGCATGATCTCCGGTGCCCGAGGGTTACGGGCATGATCTCCCGTGCCCGAGGGTTACGGGTATGATCTCCCGTGCGCTAGGGTTACGGGCATGATCTCCCGTGCCCGAGGGTTACGGGCATGAGCTCCCGTGCGCTAGGGTTACGGGCATGAGCTCCCGTGCGCTAGGGTTACGGGCATGATCTCCCGTGCGCTAGGGTTACGGGCATGATCTCCCGTGCGCTAGGGTTACGGGCATGATCTCCCGTGCGCTAGGGTTACGGGCATGATCTACCGTGCGCGAGGGTTACGGGCATGAGCTCCCGTGCGCTAGGGTTACGGGCATGATCTCCCGTGCCCGAGGGTTACGGGCATGATCTCCCGTGCCCGAGGGTTACGGGCATGATCTCCCGTGCGCTAGGGTTACGGGCATGATTGACCATACCTGTTCTATCCTGATATTCTTGACATCCCTGCTAATAATTTTTTTTTTTTTTTTGAGATGGCCTCTCACTCTGTTACCCAGGCTGGAGTGCAGTAACATGATCTCGGCTCACTGCAACCTCCGCCTCCCAGGTTCAAGCAATTCTCCTGCCTCAGCCTCCCAAGTTGCTGGGATTACAGGCACCTGCCACCATGCCCAGCTAATTTTGGTATTTTAGTAGAGATGGTGTTTTGCCATGTTGGTCAGGCTGGTCTCGAACTCCTGATCTCAAGTGATCTGCCCACCACGGCCTCCCAAAGTGCTGAGACTACAGGCGTGAGCTACCACTCCTAGCCTGCCAATGCTTTTCTATACTCACTGGAAATAGCACGCTATCCTTTCCAGTTAGTTAAGAACCGAATCACATACAGAAATCCTAACCAAATGAGGCCCACAAAAGGTATGCTGTGCTTCCAAGCATTATGTACTCAAGACCTGCGGATTGCCTCTGTGGGTACAAGTCATTCCTTGTATGAAGTCCCTGGTTAAGTCAAGCAAAGTGTCTTTTCACTAACCATGGTTACCATGGTTACGTACCTTTACAGTATGCTATAAAAGAGACACAAAGAAGTACATTTCCTACTGTACCTGTTCAGGAGCTAGGTAGATATGTGGGTGATTTTTTTTTTTTTTTTTTGAGACTGAGTTTCATTCTGTTGCCCAGGCTGGAGTGCAGAGGCACAATCTCAGCTCACTGCAACCTCCACCTCCCTGATTCAAGCAAACCTCCTGCCTCAGCCTCCCCAGCAGCTGGGACTACAGACATGTGCCACTACACCAGCTAATTTTTGTATTTTTTGATAGAGATGGGGTTTTACCATGTTGGCCAGGCTGGCCTCAAACTCCTGAACTCAGGTGATCCCCCTACACAGGCCTCCCAAAGTGCTGGGATTACAGGTGTGAGCCACCGCACCCAGCCTATGGGTGAAAAAATTTAACTGACCTCTGCTCAAATTCCACTAAGTGTTCTTCTTTTTCGGCCTCCACGGGCCTGTATCGGGTCTGCGGAGGATTTGTTTACTCTGTTCTGCCTCCTCACTGGTTCAAATCTTGCTAACTGGCCTGGTCCACTCCTGCCTTCCAAACAGCTTTCCCTGAGGAAGGGAAATGATGATACCTCCCATCATCAGCGACCAAAAAGGTCATAACTGAAATTCGATGAAGACAATTTGGTTTCCACTGAGGAAAGGTTTCAGTGGGGGTCCTGGGGGTTTGCTGTTGGCCGTAGTGGGTGCTGGTTGTATGGGATGGAAGCTAACCTATAAGTGGGTGAAAAGTTTGGATTTTGTAGCCAATCAGAAAGCCAGGGCCTCAGGCAGATAAAAGCCACCCTCCAAAAGGCAGATGACAATGTTCATGCTCAACAGAAACATTTATTTGTTTATTATTATTATTTTTAAAGACGGGGTTTCACCATGTTGGTCAGGCTGGTCTTGAACTCCTGACCTCAAGTGATCCGCCTGCCTTGGCCTCCAAAGTGCTTGGATTACAGGCGTGAGCCACCACGCCCGGCCTCAACAGAAACATTTAAAGGAACAGCACGCAGCTCTAGCTCTCCTCTTTGCCCATGCTGGGGGCTGGCATGTGGGGCTGCTTCAAACTGAACACGGTACTTACCTGTCCCCTGATTTTACTACCACAGAAAGCTTACTTTCTATGGGGGCTGGTA